CTAAGAGGGAAGCTTATCAATACAATCCTACCGCAAGTAACAAGAAAAATCTCAAATAAACAATCTAACCTTACACCTAAAGCAATTAGAGAAAGAAGAACAAAAAAACCCCAAAGTTAGCAGAAGGAAAGAATTCATAAAGATCAGATCAGAAGTAAATGAAAAAGAAATCAAAGAGATGATAGCAAAGATCAATAAAACTAAAAGCTGGTTCTTTCCAAAGATAAACAAAATTGATAAACCATTAGCCAGACTCATCAAGAAAAGAAGGGAGAAGACTCAAATCAACAGAATTACAAAAAAAGAAAACTACAGGCCAATATCAATGAACAAAATACTAGCAAACAGAATCCAGCAGCACATTAAAAGGATCATACACCGTGATCAAGTGGGGTTTATCCCAGGAACGCAAGGATTCTTCAATATATGAAAATCAATCCATGTGATACACCATATTAACAAATTGAAGGATAAAAACCATATGATAATCTCAATAGATGCAGAAAAAGCTTTTGACAAAATTCAACACCCGTTGATGATAAAAACTCTCCAGAAAGTAAGCATAGAGGGAACTTACCTCAACATAATAAAGGCCACATATGACAAACCTACAGCCAACATTGTTCTCAGTGGTTAAAAACTGAAACCATTTCCACTAAGATCAGGAAAAAGACAAGGTTGCCCATTCTCACCACTGTTATTCAACATAGTTTTTGAAGTCCAAGCCACGGCAGTCAGAGAAGAAAAAGAAATAAAAGGAATACAAATGGGAAAAGAAGAAGTAAGACTGTCACTGTTTGCAGATGACATGATGCTATACATAGAGAATCCTAAAGATGCCACCAGAAAACTACTAGAGCTAATCAATGAATTTGGTAAAGTAGTGGGATACAAAATTAATGCACAGAAATCTCTTGCATTCCTATACACTAATGATGAAAAATCTGAAAGAGAAATTAAGGAAACACTCCCATTTACCACTGCAACAAAAAGAATAAAATACCTAGGAACAAACCTACCTAAACAGACAACAGACCTGTATGCGGAAAACTATGACACTGATGAAAGAAATCAAAGATGATACAAACAGATGGAGAGATATGCTATGTTCTTGGATTGGAAGAATCAACATTGTGAAAATGACTCTACTACCCAAAGCAATCTACAGATTCAGTGCAATCCCTATCAAACTACCAAGGGCATTTTTCACAGAATTAGAACAAAAAATTTTACAATTTGCATGGAAACCCAAAAGACCCCAAATAGCCAAAGCAATCTTAAGAAAGAAAAACAGAACTGGAAGAATCAGGCTCCCTGACTTCAGACTATACTACAAAGCTACAGTAATCAAGACAGTATGGTACTGGCACAAAAACAGAAATATAGATCAATGGAACAGGATAGAAAGCCCAGAGGTAAACCCACGCACATATGGTCACTTTATCTTTGATAAAGGAGGCAAGGATGTACAATGGAGAAAAGACAGCCCCTTCAATAAGTGGTGCTGGGAAAACTGGACAGCTACATGTAAAAGAATGAAATTAGAACACTCCCTAATACCATACACAAAAATAAATTCAAAATGGATTAAAGACCTAAATGTAAGGCCAGACACTATAAAACTCTTAGAGGAAAACATAGGCAGAACACTCTATGACATAAATCAGAGCAAGATCCTTTTTGACCCACCTCCTAGAGAAATGGAAATAAAAACAAAAATAAACAAGTGGGACCTAATGAACCTTAAAAGCTTTTGCACAGCAAAGGAAACCATAAACAAGGTGAAAAGACAACCCTCAGAATGGGAGAAAATATTTGCAGATGAAGCAACTGACAAAGGATTAATCTCCAAAATATACAAGCAGCTCATGCAGCTCAATAGCAAAAAAACAACCCAATCCAAAAATGGGCAGAAGACCTAAATAGACATTTCTCCAAAGAAGATATACAGATTGCCAACAAACACATGAAAGGATGCTCAACATCACTAATCATTAGAGAAATGCAGATCAAAACTACAATGAGGTATCACCTCACACCAGTCAGAATGGCCATTAGCAAAAATTCTACAAACAATAATAAGTGCTGGAGAGGGTGTGGAGGAAAGGGAACCCTCTTGCATTGTTGGTGGGAATGTAAATTGATACAGCCACTATGGAGAACAGTATGGAGGTTCCTTATAAAACTAAAAATAGAACTACCATATGACCCAGCAGTCCCACTACTGGGCATATACCCTGAGAAAACCATAATTCAAAAAGAGACATGTACCACAGTGTTCACTGCAGCACTATTTATGATAGCCAGGACATGGAAGCAACCTAAGTGTCCATCGAAAGATGAATGGATAAAGAAGGTGGGCACATATATACAATGGAATATTACTCAGCCATAAATAGAAATGAAATTGGGCTTCCCTGGTGGTGCAGTGGTTGAGAGTCCGCCTGCCGATGCAGGGGGCATGGGTTTGCGCCCCAGTCTGGGAAGATCCCACATGCCGCGGAGTGGCTCGGCCCGCTGAGCCTGCGTGTCCAGAGCCTGTGCTCCGCAACGGGAGAGGCCACAACAGTGAGAGGCCTGCGTACCGCAAAAAAAAAAAAAAAAAAAAAAAAAAAAAAGAAATGAAATTGAGTTATTTGTAGTGAGGTGGTTGGACCTTGAGTCTGTAATACAGAATGAAGTAAGTCAGAAAGAGAAAACAAATACCATATGCTAACACATATATGGAATAATTAAAAAAAAAAAGGTTCTGAAGAACCATGGGGCAGACAGGAATAAAGATGCAGAATTAGAGAACGGACTTGAGGATACAGGGAGGGGGAAGTGTAAGCTGGGACAAAGTGAGAGAGTGGCATTGACATATATACACTACCAAATGTAAAATAGCTGGTGGGAAGCAGCTGCATACCGCAGGGAGATCAGCTCTGTGCTCTGTGACCACCTAGAGGGGTGAGATAGGGAGGGTGGGAGGGAGATGTAAGAGGGAGGGGATATGGGGATATATCTATATGTATAGCTGATTCACTTTGTTATACAGCAGCCACTAACACAACAATGTAAAGCAATTATACTCCAATAAAAATGTTTTTAGGGCTTCCCTGGTGGCAGCCTGCAGGTCCGGAGCCTGTGCTCCGCCACAGGAGAGGCCACAACAGTGAGAGGCCCGCGTACCGCAAAAAAAAGAAAGAAGTGTTTTTAAAAAAGTAAATTTTAGGGCTTCCCCGGTGGCGCAGTAGTTGAGAGTCCGCCTGCCGATGCAGGGGACACGGGTTCGTGCCCCGGTCTGGGAGGATCCCACGTGCCCCGGTCTGGGAGGATCCCACGTGCCGCGTGAGCCATGGCCGCTGGGCCTGCGCGTCCGGAACCTGTGCCCCGCGGTGGGAGAGGCCACAACAGTGAGAGGCCCGCGTATCGCAAAAAAAAAAAAAAAAGTAAATTTTAATTTAAAAAATGTTGTTGATAAGACTTAATTTTGGAACATTACAGCTTTGAAAAGGCAAGTAGAATGAAATAATCTGGCTCGGTCAGTGTTGGCAGACATGGTTACATGAAGTCATGACGGCTGACTTGGGCGGCAAGTAGCCAGAGTGCCTACAGACTTCCCGTCAACCCAAGTTCCATATCTGCCAACATAGGAGACGTCCCACGCATCAAACAAAAAAGTGATGATACTGGCTGCTTTGGTAAATATAAATCTCTTAGACTACTATGATTTAAAGATGCCAGAATTTAGTGTGATGTGATCTAAGATTACAGTTTTATTTAAAGGCAGAGTCCTTGTTTTTGTAAATCACACTTCAAAATGTTAAAGTAACTTCAGAAAGCAGTCACTTAGGATTCAGACTTACGTCTTGATTTATCAGTCTCCCCATCCTTTTATAACTCCTCTCCATGTCTAAAATACTCTGGTACTAAGATGTATTTAGCAAATATCACTTTATTTTATTTTTTTAATAATAGTAGGACATACTCTTATAGGGCTCTTTTTTTTTTTTTTAATTTGGTTGCACCAGGTCTTAGTTGTGGCAGTGGGCTCCTTAGTTACGGCTTGTGGGCTCAGTTGCGGCAGGCAGGCTCCTTTGTTGCAGCTTGCCGGCTCCTTAGTTGCAGCTCACGGGCTTCTTAGTTGCGGCATGCATGTGGGATCCAGATCCCTGACCAGGGATTGAACCCAGGCCCCCTGCATTGGGAGCACGGAGTCTTATCCACTGTGCCGCCAGGGAAGTCCCCATCACTTTTATTTTTTGAAGAGCACCTTCATATGTGTCCCATGGATACTTACAGTGATTTTTCTCCCCGTTTTCAGACAAGAAAACTACACTTAAGGGGGTGATGTGGCCTCCCAGGCTCACGGGCAGCCTTCTACCACCACTCTTTTCACACATCACGGTCCAGCACACGAGCTGTCTCACAGGGTTTCCTCACCTCAGGGTGACTGCACAGAATGTCCGGTATCTTTGCCCTCGCGTACACTGCTCACCAGCTGCTGTGTGCTCAGGCGGCTCCACCGCTCCTCCTTCACTCGAGAGACTTTCTTCCTGACACCCCGATGCAGGGTTAGGGGTGGCCTGGGAGGCAGCCCAGCAAGAGGGTGGAGGAGGGGAGGCTTGGAAAGAGTGGACACGGGGACATGTGTGGTTGAAAAGAGAGGTGTGTGAGGCAGAGAGAGGCTCCAGAGCAGGGAGAAAAGTGGGGAAGAGAAGGCAATGGTGTGGTTGAGGATTCTGACTTCCATCGCTTTCAACATTTTTGAGAGAGTTACTTTGGGATGGATTCCCCATGGAGATTGGCTGTGTGGGACCCGGTTTGTGGGGGCCACTCTTATCAAAGGCTCAACATTCTTTAGGAGTGAGGGAGCATCACTTTGGTCCTTAGGTCTGTGGTTTGAGGGGATGGTAGTACCATAATTATTAATTTGAACCTTGAGAACCTTGTTAAAGCAGGGAGAAGTGTAACTATTGATTTTTCTTAGAATGATTAAATGATCTTTTTCTCTGTAGTTGCTGACTTTGTAGGGCTGGATCCCAGAATAGCTGCATGGCTTATAGATCCTACTGATGCTGCACCCTCTTTTGAAGATTTAGTGGCAAAATACTTTGGAAACTCCATCACAGTTAAGGTGAACAGCACATATGGAAATTCCTCAAGAAAGACTGTGGTGAGTTGTTTTAAGATGAGGTTTATCAACCTTAATACAACCCAAATTTTCCTCTAGGAACTTCTCCTACTTCATAGACAGTCCAGTAGTAAGAAGAACATTGCTGACGCTCATTTTTACTTATTCAGCAGAAATGCTGTGTACCCTGACGTTGCTGGTAGGGGATACTGAATAAAGATGGGTGATTTCTGTCAACAGTTCCTGGGAGGTGCCATTCACAGCGTGATTCTTCTAAATGGATTCTTTGTGTCAGAGAGTCGCCAGCTCTGTGAGCAGAGAGCTGCTTGTTTATAAATTCTTCATGCTGGTGACACAGCTGCTGTGGCCGAGGCCTAGGAAGGCCTCTCCTCAGTCCCAGCAGGGAGAATTGTAAGACTGCCCAGGTCTGTCTCTCTGACCCCCTCTTTCAAGATGCACCCAGTTGTTAGGAACCACTGTCTGGAGAAGCACGGGTGCTTGCAGCTCTGGAACCTGCCTGGAGCCCAGCAAGAGGGAGACTTGACATGGCCGCACAGCAGGGCCAGAGGAGGCGTCCCAGCGGGAGCAGCGCCGGCCACCATCAGGCCACTCTGTTCAGACTTCCCGGGTGTAAGTTAACAGGCACATGTTAAAAGCACGACTAGGAGGCCACGCAGGAGGCCACGTGAGCCTGCCCTGCGTGCCGGGGCTGAGCTGGGGCTGGTCGCTGCTTGGGGTGCTTGATCCTACAGACCCGCAGTTGAGGAGGGATCTGTGTCAGATAGGGGCTTGGGGTTGGAAATACAGAAACTCACTCTCCCTTAATTTAAAAAGAGATTTGTCAGAGGAATGTGGGGTAGCTCTGAGCCTCAGAGGAAAAGCAGAACCAAGCTTTGGGAAGACAGGCGTCAGGCGGGTCTGGGGACCCAGGCAGCAGGAGCCCGTGGGCCAGGGGCCAGCAATGAGCTGTGATCATTTTCTCTACACGTCACTTTTGTCCAAGATTCAAAGTTTTAGCACTTGGAGTCTCCTTTCCATGACTGTGTCACATGTCCGCCCCTCGGCAGGGCAGGCAGGGTGTGGAGATTGGCAGTCTCCCCAGATCCATGCTGCTGGAGTGGGAACTTCCCCAGACACAAGCCGAGATATCATTGCTGAAGGAGGGAGCTGTCCGCCTCTGTTAGCCCAGGTTTACAGAGGAGAACCCAGGTGCAGAAGGGTTCATGTACACGCACCTTGCCCAAGGTCATGGTTCAGTTCAGAGTTTGGATTTCTGACTCTAAAGTGTAGTTTCTTTCCAGTATACACACGTGCAAGTTAGGGATGGGAGTGGCTGCATGGAACAAAGCACCAGCTCCAGCGGGTGTGTTTTCTCCCTGGCGAGAAGTCGGAGCCCCTCACCCAGGCCGAGCAGCTGCTCCCAGAGCTGTGCGACTCAGTCGCTCCCCGCGCACCGTTGCCTTATGGTCCCACCGGGAAGCTTTGCCCGAGGCCCTCCTCCACATGCCAGGCGGGAAGGAGGCTGCCTGGGATGAACTTCCGCTCGTATCTTGTTAAACAGGGCAGCAATGTGTCTGCTGGAGGTGGAAGGCGGCCCGCTGCTCCGCAGGGTCTCCTGCTGCCCTGGAGCAGTGGTATGAAAGGAGGGGAAAGGAAAGCGCGGTCCGGGTCGAGGAGCAGCAGGGAAGCAGTGAGGACTCATGAGAGTGTGGCTCCTGTCGGGGAGGCGGGAGACCTCAGATGGCGAGAAGGAAGATGACGACCGTGGGGAGACGAGCTGCGGCCAGGCTGAGCGGCGAGGGGCAGGAGCTCCGCCACCGAGCGCGAGCCGTCCTGGGGAAGCCTCGCGGCTCAGCGCTGCCGTCGGGGAGGCGCGTTCAGGCAGCAGGGTGGTGGCCGTCTGCCGGTCACAGCCGACGCGTTCACGTGGACGTGTTCGTGGTGCCTCCCAGCTAGTGGTTCCCGGGAGAGCCAAGACCCGGGATGGCGGCAAGACAAACGTGGGGTGCACAGCCAGCCGCCGATCATCGTGGCGGGGGTGGCGGTGTGTGTGTCTCTAAACTGAGGCCGGGCGCCTGGAGTCTGGGGGGACGTGTGGCAGCGGGAGGGGTGCAGTGGGAACGCAGGGCTCTGCGCAGGGGGGCAGAATTCGACTGACTGTCGGGGCCGCGACTCACCACCGCCCTCTTGGTCAGCTGGACACAGACCCTGTTGGCGCACCTCCCAGGGTCTCTGTGTGTGTCTGGGACAGGGACCGGCGGTGAGGGTGGGCGAGGCACTGGCTCCCAGACGCCCACGGTGGGTAGAGGGGCAAGCCGAGGGGCCAGGTCTGTCTCTACCACCATGCGATCTTTGCACCTTGGGCACTTAGCTTCTTTGTGGGTCATTTCCTGTAAAATGAGGAAAACTGGGTTGGGGAGAAAGTAAGAAAGCGATAGGTAGCTTGAATTTGCCTGAAAAGTATCTTCCGAAGTGTGGGAACTGCTCTGCTTGAGGCGATGGCTGGCGGCACCAGACGTGTGCTCTCTGCCGAGGAAACACTGCCGCTTCCTAGATTGCGATGAACGTTGCTGCCAAATGTGCCTAATGTTTAATTCTTTTGATCTTTTAAAGAATCAGAATGTACATGCGAACCTGAGGGTGCTCTACAGACTTACGATGAGCCTTTGTTCCCAGCTCAAGGCAAGGCATTTCATTGTAACTTCACTGTCCAAGGGCTGTCTTTCGTTCGCAACCATGCTCACAGGAAACAGTACCCTCAGTGTCTTTGTGCAGGAGACGGGGTTCTGAGGCCAAGTGAACCTGCACATCACTCATAGAAGGGCAGTCCAGATGATAAGACCTGAAATTTTTTAAATGTTTTCTATAGGTTGACAACAATTGTAACATTTTTTTGAAGATTCAATTCAATTGGAATGTTTCTAACTCTGCAGTTAACGTAAAAGCTAAGAGTTCATTTCAGTTAGTAGTGATGGACACAGCTCCACTCAGAGTCTCATTGGGAAGCAGAGGTCATTTGAAGGACCTGTCAGGAAGGGTTGAAAGAAGGCGCTGTGAACCACAGCAAGGGCAGGAGTCAGGGGGCCAGAAGGGACGGAGAAGGCTGCAGGGGCAGGCACTGGCTGGAAGCTTTTCCACCCCTGGGCTCAAAGGGCGGGCTGTTACAGGGACCCTGGGAAAGCAGTGGCCCTGCAGGGGGCTGCTGGCCAGGAGCCGGGTGCCGGCAGTGGGGGCTGCTGGGGCCAGAAGCGCACTGTGGGCTGGCGCAGGGGAAACCCGCGTCCCTCTCCTCCTGCCCCGAATGGGCAAAACCAGCCCAAGGGCAGAGAAGGAGCCCAGCTGGTGTGGCCTGGAGGGCGTCTACCCTTCTTCCAGGGCCAAGAGCAGGACAGAGGGTGGGACCTAGGGGCAGCCGGGAAGGTGAGGGCACAGCAGAAGGACAGACAGGCAGAGGGCTCTCAGATGGCAACCCTGATAAAGAGCGTGGGAGGTGATCCGAGTAGGCGAAGGCGGTGCACGTCTCCCCACACTAATTTATAAAGTCTGTGCAAAATCGATGAAAATTCTAGTTAAATTTTTGGGAATTCAGAAAGCCTATTTTGAAATTAAAATGGGAGACTAAAAGTCCACAAATACCTAAATCACACTTAAAAATGAGAAAGATTAAAGAAAAGTGGGAGTGGGACTAGTCCTACCAGGTATTTCTGAATATCTCTACTAGGGCTTGGTAATAAAATAGGATACTTGACAAAAATAGGGATTTTATTAGGAAGGAGGATAGGGGGACCAACCATGCCCACCAGAGGAGTTGCTCAATGAAATTAAGTAGGCTGTTCAGCAAACGCAGGTAGAAATAATAGTTTAAAAGTAACACTGATGTCATTTCTTCCTATGAAACAGGTTTATGGTTTATGGCAACTGTTTTGTACTTTGGAGCTTCCTCTGATACCAGTTTTGGCAGGTAAGGTGTCCTAAAGATGATGCCCAGTCATCCTTCTAGAGAGTTCTTTGTACCTTTTGGGAAGACTGTTTTCTCTTGACTTAGTTTGGGGTGGGCAGTGCATCATATGGGCACCAAAGAGGTAGTGAGCCCTTAACTTTCCCTTTCTTTAACAAGAGGGATTGGACCACGTCACCTCTTGGGCTAGAAAGACTCTAAGGTTCTAACATCTGGGTCACGTGGTATCGCTTCTGTACTGCCTGTTCAGCAG